AGAGGAGTTATTTGAATAGGATGTATGAAGTAGATTTGACAGGATTGGATTTGTCCAAGCTGAAAGGTGCCTCAACTGCTGAAGATTTCAAGTATTTGTATATTGAAATGTTGATTGATATGGTCATTTCACTTGTTTATTGTCCACTCCTCATGTTTGACTGGATTTTCTGTGGTAAATTGGAAGTCAAATTGGAATGTGGAGGTAAGATCTTTGATAAGGACTTTTACATTATGGACTTGAAGCCAATGATTGAATTATTCGAGTTTACTGAAAGAAAAGGTTTTAACGAATTTCTAGATGCTGAATTATGCAGACAAACTACAAAAGCAAATGAATTAGCAGAAAATATTGTAAACAATTGGAAGACAACTTTATGTGAATCATTTGAAACAGATCAAATTTATAAGGGATCTGTATCTTTTGCAAATAATACCGAGCTTGATGGCTCTGAAGAGAAGTGTATAATAATTGTACAGGATATTGTAAATTATAGATCTGATTTCTTCAAGCTAATGACCCAAAGTGGTATGAAGGAATCAACAGATGATGTCATTTCATTGGATTGTACTGCAAAAGTAATGACATCTGTTTTTGAGTATGCCTATATGGGATCCATTTCTGATGAAAGCATTGCACTAGAACTAATGCTCTACTCTGACATGATTGGCTACAAGATGTTATTCAACTCATGTGCGCACATCATTAAGAAGAATATCAAAACAATGGAAGATGCTTCCAATATTTACAATTTTTCATCAATGTATGAAGAGGTTCTAGGAATGAAGGTTTTAAAATGCTATTGTTCCAAGTTTTGTTATATTCAACAAGCCCTTTCAAAGGAGCCATTGGAAATTCCTAAAGAAATTGTTGAAAATGAACCAGTTGAAGATTTTAAATTCTTCTCTCATAGATTGACTCCAAAGCTTTCAAGAAATAGAGATTTTAAGGAAGTTTACATTTATGGATGGGGTGAAAAATCAGGCTTCAAAAGAGTTGGTAATGTGATTGCACGTAATTGTTATAGATCTCCACCAATTTTTACAAATGAGGGTTTCTTGGATCATCAAACATTCAATCCAAATACTAGTTGGAAGGATAGCTCTATTACTAATCCAATGCTCCTCTGCGTCCCTGTCACTCTGGAAAATAAGGAAGAATTCTTTGCCAATGTCGAAGAAATATTGGAACGTAGAAAAGATCTTCAAAAGGCAAATCATCAAGTTTTGGCAATAGTCTTTACTAAATGTGATATACCTCGTGGAATGTGGAATATTTCAAGACAAGAAATGCAAGATTTGGCAAAAAAGATTAATGTTAGCTTATTCGAGTCATCTGCCTATTGTTTGATTAACTGCAAAGAATCTGCCGCATTGATGTACGAATTACAGAAATAAATTTTATTCTAAATGAAGAGGAATATTATGATCGATATAAGTATCAATGGATGATTTCAAATGGCTGTGATAATTAGCAAAGTCTCTATGATTATTCAGACATGATTTGTCAATTATACGAATCAATCTTTCCATTAATTTATCATTGGGAATTTGATTCTCCTCCAAAACTTTCTTGATAGCCGAAAGGTCGTGTGTTTCCAAATTGGGTTGTGAAAATAACTTGGTAAATTGTTGAGAGTAAATCTCATACTTGGTATTTTCCTTTTGTTGTTCCAATTCGTATAACCATTCATCTGCATTTATCTGATTCTTCTTAATGAGCTCATAAACTGTTGAAATGGAACGATCGCCTCCAAGATAACGATCCACAGGACGATACACAAACGAATCCTTGTTTTCATCATGTGTTTCCTGATCTACAATTACACTAACTCCATAATCTTCACACATGATTGACAAATTCCTAGCTCTGTAAATCATTTCACCCACAAGCGTAAAGAATCTCAAAGAATTATTTCCAACATTTCCTTGAAGACATTCACCACTTGCAATTGCTATATTTGCCTTTAAAGGACTAGCTCCATTTCGAATAAGAGTTTCGTTTAACGAATTGAGTGCTGTAGTAATCTTGAGAGAAGTTTCCAATCCTGTCAATGAACAATTCTTATCTGAAAAGACAACTAAATATTCATTATGACTTTTGATTTGCAAGTCACCTCTCACCGTCTTACAAATAGACGAAACTCCAGTAATGACTTTACACACAGTACTGTTTAGAATTTCAACATCTGAAATATTGACATTATTCAATGCTGGAATTCTCATATATAGAACACAACTGTGTCTAGACGAAAGTCCCAATTTAAGCATGGCAGCAACACCACCTTTAGGATTTCTGAATGTTGATCCGTGACGGAACGAATCCAAACCTGAACCAGCTTTTGAAGCAATGGAGCTAGACGATTCTTGGGCCTTTCGGTGAGATTCGTTTGGATTAGTAGCCGATTCCTCAGCTTGATTTTCCTGATTTTGCTCCAACTGATTCAAAACGCAATCAGGAAGAAATGCCCTAAACTCTGCCAACCAATTCACTGTATCTGTCAAACTAGAATAAATACTCTTAGATTCGGTAAATATCGAATTTCTTGGTTTGATATTCGTCAAATCCAAAACTTCAATCTTTTTGAAATCTTTTTGTAATTGAATGAATGGATTGGTAACTATCCAACCAATGACAACACTCAGAACCACACCAATGCAAATCACACCAATTGTAACTCCAGCAATCACATAAGAACTTGTGATAATTCCCTTTTTGATTTCATTTTCGTCGAAAACTAAAGTGAGACGCCATTTAAGGTTTTTAAAAGTGTAGGATGTGGTGGAAACAATGAGATTTTCAGATCCTTCCTGGATGTATGAAATTTCAGTGTTTGCTTGCAACATTTTGGTGAATACTTTTCCTGCGTTTCGAATAGTAATGTTTTGTGCCTTAATACGAGTTTTTTCAATATTAGGAATAGGAAGAGAACAACCAATAATCATATCATTTCCATACTCTGACAATATACTATATCCATTTTCCAAAACCTTAATTCCTGCGAAAAATTGAGCAATTTGTTGAAATGTCAAATTAATCTTGGCAATTCCAATTTTGGAAGTTGAATTTCTAGCAAATACTTGAGAGGCATAATAAATAGTCATATGACCAGATGGAATCTGATTCACTGTACCAAATCCTCCATCTGGATAACCATTTGTAAAAAACTGAGCTGATTCCAAATAAAAATCTCTCTTCGGCACAACATAGGTAATATTGAGCTGAATCTTGGAAGTTGGATCACCATTCTCGTCAGTTGCCAACTTTAACAGATATTTATCACCTTGTCTCTTTCTGAGTGTTGAAATAATTCCATCTTCTCCAGTGTAACCATACAATGTGTCCGCTCCATTCTCACCCAAACACAAAGTTACAATGGTAATGTTATTCTGCTTGAGTTTGGAATAGAAATATCTAAGATATCCATCTGCTGTGTCGATATATCCATTTTGATAATCATCTCTTAATTGTTGAGAAACTACTTGAAGTGGCACCAGTTGACCATCTAAAAATTGGCGAACTTTATCATTGATATTAGTCATGATTCCTGAGACTGCTTCCAAGGCTGCTTGTTCATTGACTTTATAAGCTGCAATCCAAATGGAAAGAGCTGTTGCAATCACGAGAAGTGTAATGACAATGATTAAGAATAATCTAACCGAAAGAAAGATTCCTAGAAGGAAAGGTCTTGGTTTCTTCTTGGATTGGATGAGCTTTTCAGTTTCTTGCTGCTGATTTGACGATTGGTCTTCTGTTGTGAGTGGTTTAATTTTCATTTTCTGTAATTTTTTTAATGGACTAGTTTCGAATGGTTGAAAGATGGTGATGGATAGTCGAAACGGAAGATTATTATGATTGTATTTCGATATTGATATCTACAGTTGACGGTTGCCATCCATACAACCATCAAAAACATCACGTTCTGTAAAAAGGATCCTTATTATTTCACAAAACATCAACTTGGCATTATCCTTATTTATATGTTGCACTTGTCACTAAACTCCTCTCCCATCAATTGACAAGATAAAGATAAGAACCAAGCAGAAAATAATGATAAACTCAATGGACACAATAGATAGTGCCAAAGTAATAATTCGCAAACTTGTTCTTGTCCAAAATCATTCGAAAGACTGGAGAGGGAAGTTAAGGACATGGCCATGGGCATGGAAAATTGAATTAAAATTACTAAAATTAGCAAGGGATCGTTTGTTGGGAGGATTTTAAGGTAAATTCCAGCATAAACTAAACCAACTCCTATTAATGGAAATATAATTAATTTGGTAATTAGGGAAATTGCAATAGCAAGTGGATGAATTTTCTTAATTTTGAATATTTTCAAAATTCCAATTAAAGTGGCTTTCATTTTGATCCAAATTCTTTTCAACAAATTTGTTTCGTCTTCATTAGTATCTATATTATTAGAAAGAGTTTCGTTTTCCTCTTTTAGCAAGGTCATTCCCAAATTTCCGCCCAAAATTATTAAAGCAGCAGGTGAAACAGCTTGTGAAAATACTTTACAAATGTTTTTCACAGAGGAAATGAACATGGGAGGATCAGTTATCAGAAAATCCTTAACTGGACTAATTAAGGCAATTAGAATGGCTACAAATATGGAAATTAAAGGAGGAGAAAGTAAATTTCTCAATAATTCTTTGATATTTTCTAAATTATTATAGAAATAGAGTTTCAATTTTTGCAGTGTTGATAATCTTGGTAATTCCTGATTTGGCTGTTGAGATTCAATGATTAATTCCTGATTTACATGATGTTCTTCGTCAATTTCTTCCTTATTTTGCTCCTCCACGATAGGATGTTCTTCATCGACCAATTCTACTTCAATTGTTCCATCAGATTCATTAATTATATCATTACTTTCCAATTTCTTATTAGATTCTTCCTCGGCTAACTTCTTCAATCGAGCAGCACCACTCTTGAATGAATTATATCCAACCGTATAAAACACAAACTCTATCGGAATGATAAATACCGAAAGACTTGTCATGGCACTTTTGTGAGCCTGATCAAAAGTCATGTTATAAATTGGACTAGTTCCAGAAGTTGAAACATTACACAATGCAACAATATAAACCAATGGCAATGACACTGAAGTATGGCACACCAGAGTCAGTGTCAACACTGTCCTCGAAATATCATCCAATCTATCCTTCCAAAACAATTTCAAAAACAGTAACTTTCCAAAAACAATTCCCAAAATTTCCAAAATCACACTATACAGAAATACCATATAAATCTGTTGGAATACATCTAGTGAAAAACTAGTTGTCAAGTTGATGAAAAACAAGCATGGGATGAAGAGATTAAACCACAACTTGGATAGAAATCGAATCCGATCACGATCCAATATTTTCAATGGTTTACATTTGGCCAATATGAAACCAATCGAACATTCTAGAATGACTTCTATTGTTGAGCTCAAACTTG